TGCTGATTCTTCTCCTTTGCTGGCAGTGGGGCAACAGCTGCTTACAAAAATAAAAGTCACATATTTGCATGGGGGGGCGGGGTGTAAATTTTCCTCTTTTACATTTTGCCACTGGCCATGAACTGTTCTCTTTGCTCTATTTCAGTTTTCAGAATCATGTCTGGGAAATTTTATTTAGTGTCTGCTAAGCCAGTCTCCAAGGAAGCAAAGGACTTTGCTTTCCCAAGATTCCCAACCTCATGTGACAGAGCCAGGAGAAACAAGGCTTCAAATCTATGATGTACAGTATGTAACAACAAAACTTTAGTTTTCTGGCTACTGCATCTTTACATGTCTAAGAAGTTTGCTTTTGTGTAGATACATCAGCCATTTTGTTTTCAGAATTGCTGTAGATTGTTAGAGAGAAGGGACATTCACAGTGTCCTTACAGACTTTCCTTTTGTTCTTTCTTAATTCCCCTCAATATATACCAATTAATAAATACTGATTCAATTTAGACCAGAAGTACTTGGTCTGCTCTTGTTCTGAGGTTTTTGCTTCAGCCATTTTGCAATGCATCCCAAACCCTCCTGGGAATTGGCTATTATAAATCTGGGGATCAATTCTGTGAGATTCACAGTATGTATGTGACAACCAAGCCAGGCTCACAGTGTTCCTAGCTATAGGACACCATGACTGGGAACTGAACCTAGGTCCACTGCAGTGCAGAGCATTAACCTCCAGATGTCACTGTGCCCAGCCTACATTTGCCCTGCGGGAAGTGAGACTGCAGCTTGAAACCAGTACCATGCAGGTCAATATAAAGAGATAACTAATAGGCTCTGGTCCAGGGTTGCCAACTGTCTGTAAATTCATAGACAGGCCATAAAATGAGGAGCTAAAATTAGACCTGTCTGTAAAATCCATGAAAACATTTAGGCTACGTATAGACTACTTCCTTTTTTCGATAAAAGAATGTAAATTAGGGACGTTGATATTGCAAATGAAGCCAGGATTTGAATTTCCCGCACTTCATTTGCATAATGGCAGCTGCTGCTTTTTTTCTGAAATGGGGCTTTTTCGAAAAAAAATTAGCAGTTTAGACGAGACATTTTAGGCAGAAATGGCCCATTTTGAAAGATCCTTTACTCCTCAAAAAAGTCTCAGGGGGTAGCCATATTTGTAATTTTAAAAACAATGAGTAGTCCTTTGGCACCATAGAGACTAACAAAAATATATATAGTATATATGGTATCATGAGTTTTTGTGGGCAAAACCCACTTCTTCAGATTTGAAGTGAAGGATATAGTGTAGACAGGTCTCAAGTGATTTACCACTATGCCATCTAATTTTACTCAGAGCATGATTAGGTGACATGGTGGTCTAAGTACCTGAGTCCCCTCTATAACCTGCACCACTGATGGAACTATACCAGTGGTGAACTAGAGTTCCCAATTTTCCTAATGTAAACTAGGCCACTGAATACTAGACTCAGACTTTTCAATTCTTCTAATCCCTGACAGCTCTTGGGGTGGTATTAAGAGATTTGCAATTGAACCCAGCTCTCACCCCTTTGTTACCTTGGGATCTGGGCAGCTGTTGTTGCTTTGACCTCCAGCTTTGATAGCGAAGCCAAAGGATCACACCTAACAAGATAACAAAGACACCCACTAGGAAGACAGGGATGATGATCACTTCAGTCTGGTGTTCACGCACAACTGTCCATGGAAAGAGAAAATGGGAAACAAAGAGTAACTAATTGTTCAGTGAAATCACAGTGTGTACAACACTCCCATACTGAGCAGTCTGTACAGCACCATAGCAATAATCCATTCTAGTAACTTTCAACACAAAGGATCCATCTATCTATGCTGTGCTCACTGCAGTAGTCTCTAAGCACTTTATCAACTATCAGCCTGATTTTCAGAGGCACTGACTATTTAAGACTCCCACTGAAGTCAATAGGAATTCTTCACCTCTGAATATCAGGCTACTTCTTTAGGTGCCTTGTGGGGGTGAATGGGGTATCCTGGAGTCTCCCCACCCCATACCACAGTTTGGGTTTCTTGCTTCCTCTGACACCCCAATTCCTTCTGCTACTTGGGGCATACAAGAGTCTCTCTCAAAAAACAACAATATGCACATATGTACACCTTTCCCCCTCTCCAGGGGCAGGGAAGACCAAAATAAAAAAGGGAAATACAAGAAATTCAGTCTCATGGGCAGATCTTGGTCCCAGCTTGCCTGCAGGCACTTTAGTGTCATGATCAGGGTTAGAGTCCTTCCCTACATCACCCCTTCTTGCTTTTTTGGTAGACACCCACTCTGTACCTGGTACAGAGATAGTTGGGATAGCAGGGTCAATAAATGCCTTCCTCTTCACTATCCTTGTAATCTTAGTGCTGTCTTAGGCAAAATAATCTTCCCCAGTTACCAACCCTTGGACTAGAATTCCCTTCTAAAGCTTTCTCCTCCAGGCAGAGCAAATCTTGCTGATGTGTGGATGAGTTCAGAAGAGTTTATTATCATCTTCCTCACCAGAGTGAAGTCATGACCCCCTCCCACTACCACATATTGTATATGAAGACTGAAAGTGTAAGGCAGTGCCTACAATTGGGGATCATTTAGCTGCCTCAGAGGTGGACCCTGGCAGTCATTCTATGTCAAAAATGCTGCACAATAAGGTAATTAAGATGAATTGAATAATTTCTCCCATTAGCATACTAGGGGTGTCTATTATGGAGGAAGTGTAAATTAAATGGTTTGGAACTTAGCTAGATTGGGTCTTGGGTCACAACCCTATGGGATCCTGCCATTCTCATATAAGATGATAAGTACCTTCAACTCCAAATAAAATTAAGAGAGACTGATGAGGCTTGGCACATGTTAAGGCTGTTCCCCATTCTGACACTCCAAGTGCAGAGGCCCATGAGAGACCTTAAAATACCCTGCCTCTATTGGCTTCTGTTTTAAAAACTCCAAGGTCACAGATTCCCTGACCTTGGGAGATGGCTTGGTGATAGCATCCTAAAAAAAAAAAAAAAAAAAAAAAAGTCTTTCTTCTTGAATTCAGGAAGAAAGCACTTGGGAACTGCTTCCAGGGGGGTATCCCAAGCTCTTTTACTGCTTGAAAAAAAGAAAACAAATTGTGATCTTCAATAGCTGACCTCTCAGTCTTAGGCATGCACACACAGATCTCCTATTACATTCCAGAACAGAAGAATCAGATCATAGCCTTAAAAAGGTGATTTTATTAACAAAACAAAGAGATATACTTGGTAAACATTTGCTTGCTAGCTGTTATAGAGCAACTGAGAAAACAGATTAAAGCACAGAGAATTGTTTCCCTGGGATTCAGCTTAGTTACAATGTAAAGGGAGGCATATGGACTGAGCACAGAAAAGCTTAACCAAACAACAAAACAAAGAAAATAACCTGACTGTATCTAACTAAACATTTCCTATCTACTTGCATATTTGTACTTCAAGGTTCAGTTCATTTCTATGCCCGGATATTTCTTTTTTTAGATGTGGTATTTCTGCCTGGTTCAATTTATGTTTCCACTCCCAGATCCTTTTTTAAACTCACACAAAGGAAACCAGCAAGCAAGGTTAATTTCAATTCAAATCTCAACATCTGCTTCCATTGGCTCTCCTGGTCCCCTGCCAACACCTCAGAGCTACCTGAGTTTAATCCTTTAGTCACCAGATGCTGGGATGCCCAGAAAAGGACAACACTTCTATCTATCATAACACGTAACAATCTTGGTCCCTTTAGAAGTACCATAGGATCTTTAAAGACCACATGTGGTCTTGACCAAGAGATAATTTCCCCTAACCTCCTGCAAACGCATTGAGTTCAGTAGTATTCAGAAGGAAGAGACTCCCCTAATAAGTCACAAACAGCATTTCTTGCAGCATCTGGATTTCTGTTGGTAGTCTATGTCTGCCTATCTACCATAGCTCCAAAAAATCCTTCCCCATTTTTTCTAGGTACTGATCTACCTAACTGTTCCATCAAAGGCTGTCCTAAGCCCAACCCTGCTTAAAGCAGAACAGATAAGACTACAGCAGCAGGGGCATCAGAGTGAGAATGCTTGTGTGTTGCTTATTGCTAATACTCTAGTAGCACTGGTATGAGTATACTGATTTGGGCTGACTCAGAGCTCTGATGACAATAATTTCAGCCCCTATTGGAATTAACATACCAGTCTCTTAACCCTGATCAGAGTGTTTTATCGTTTTTCCTGTTTAACAGGAAATCTTAATCCATCTTTCTCCTATCCTTCCTACCTAGTCATATGCACCAGTGCTGGAAACACGTTCTTTGTTCTCGATACTGCATGACAATGCTAGGTGAAAAACCTAATACACTCAGCTAAAAAGGCAAAATAGATGGGGGCAGGCGTGAAGAAGTCATGCACTGGAACTTACTTCAGGGGAAGCCCAATCAAATCCCTCTGGAGCTGAGGGTTGACTCACAGTTAACTGAGCAGGTCCTGCTGCTCAGCGTATGAGACCTGAACACATACAAGTAACAGGGAAAAAAGACACTTGCCTTGAAACTTACCACATAACTTGTCACTGCTGTTGCATTCCAGTAACATGCGTCTGAGTCTCTTTACATCCCCTGCCATGATCAGCTCAGTGTCAGCATGTCCTTCCCCACTGGTATTTCCACTGCACAGACATGAAGAGCATTACCGTAAATACATTGGCAGGACTGGCTGGTTGCTGGCAGAGTGGATGAGAAGCTACACTATACACCCTCTTTGTCAATTGAGCTCTAAATCCAGTCTCAGATGAGTGGGAGGAAGCAGCTCAGAAAAATCAGAAGTTTGGAGAACTATGGGCATGTGGAGGTTAATGGTCTAACACAGGAGAGTCAGAATTCATTTCTGGTGATGATATCTCAGCCCAGGAGCAGAGGGAGGTTTGTTCTGTAGTACTGTATGGGAGATTTTGGTATCTCATTTTTTGGACAGGCACATGTACACAAACAAAAAGACATTTGTTTATGTATATTTTAAATTATCTGTGTAAATCACACTTTAGATGGCAGAATAACTCAAGTCTTAACTTCAGAGCTATAAAACATCAGGCACGTATGTATAAGACACTGGCTGTGTCTAGACTGCATCCCCTTTCCGTAAAAGGGATGCAAATTAGACATATCGCAATTGCAAATGAAGTGGGGATTTAAATCTCCCCCGCTTCATTAGCATAAAAATGGCTGCCGCTTTTTTCCGGCTCGGAGCTCTGCCGGAAAAAAGCGCCAGTCTAGACGCGGATCTTTCGGAAAATAAAGCCTTTAAAAGGAGGGATAAGGGATGATACCAAGCTTGGAGGGGTTGCAACTGCTTTGGAGGATAGGATCATAATTCAAAATGATCTGGACAAATTGGAGAAATGGTCTGAGGTAAACAGGATGAAGTTTAATAAGGACAAATGCAAAGTGCTCCACTTAGGAAGGAACAATCAGTTTCACACTTAGGGTGCGTCTAGACTACATGGCTCCATCGACGGAGCCATGTAAAGTAGTTTACTAGACATAGTAAAAAAGTGGGGATTTAAATAATCCCCACTTCATTAAATTAAAAATGGCCGCTGTGCTGTGCCGACAATCAGCTAATCCAGCACGGCATGGCAGTCTAGACGCGACGCGGTCGACAAGAGAAGCCTTTGTCGACTACTCCGGTATGCCCAGTTGCTGTCACCTCCAATGAATTTTCAAAAATCTACAATCTATCCTGGAAAATGACCTCTCACTCTCAGAGGCCTTGGGGGGAAAGGCCAATTCTCACTTACAGACAACCCCCTAACCTGAAACAAATTTTTTCCAGTAACCACGCAGCACAGCTACATCATAAGCATCCAGGAACCCACCCCTGCAATCAGGTCTGGTGCCAACTCTGCCCATGCATCTACTCAAGTGTTTTCATCACTGGACCCAACCACATCAGCCACCAAATCAGAGACTCATTTAACTGCACATCCGCTAATGTGATCTATGTCATCAAATGCCAGCAATGCCCCAACTGCAATGTACAGTAATCCCTCATTTAACACGTGCCTGCTTAACACATTTTCGTGATAGCATGATTTTTCTGAGGGTACGTTTTTTGAATTACACGACAGAGGGTTCGCCGCTCGCCATGCTGTTCCCGGCAACCTCCCCTCGCTGGATGCAGTCCGGGTCCTGGCAGACCTGTCACAGGAGCATACTCCCAACCCAATTCCCTTCCCCTCTCCTGCCCTTCCCTTCCTCAGAGCCAAACACCTCCCCTCCCTGCTGTAACCCAGTCTCCTTTCTCCCCCAACCTTATGTCCCAGTTCCAACAGACACCACCGCTTGAAACGCAACCCCGACCTTTTCCATTATTTTCAAAGGGAAAATTGAAATATAATGAGAAGGCTGCTGTTTCTTAGTAAAGTCTCTGTGACAGGGTGTATCAACTCCACACAGGTGCATCAAGACTTAACCCTCTGAACCTAACTGAGGAGGCCCTGCTCCCTCAGCTCTGCTGGGCATGATCCAGCTGGAGACCTGCAGAGGAGCTCAGTCTGCGCTGACTGCTGACAGGGAAAGAAGTGCCACACTAGTTCCAGATAGAGACACAGAGTCAAGTAGAAAGTGACCCAGGGAATGGCAGCCATAGTGGAACAGCTCGATGTGTTTCAGTGGAAGCCTCATCAAGCTGGTTTGGACAACTCCACCACTGACAGGGCCCAGGGTCTGTGTCCCTCTAACCTGACCATTACCCCATCCCGAGGTGAGGACCTTGCACTCCTTGCTATTAACTCTAGCCACTGGGCCACAATGACCTGCAAAACAGGTCTGGCCCATGAAAGCTCATCACCTAATAAACTATCTTGTTAGTCTTTAAAGTGCTACATAGTCCTGTTTTTTTGTTTCAGCAAGACCAGACCAACACGGCTACATCTCTATTACTATTCTGCAAAACAGGGGCTTTGCCATTGACTCCGGGACCCAGGGTGCCCTGTAAGGTGTGCACCTGCATAGGTACACAACAAAAATTTCATTCCCACCCACACCCTCACCAGAGTCACACGGCTGCAGTCCCAGCTGAGCACCCCAGGAGCAGCTGGGCACCCACCATGCAGCCTGTGTGGTGGCACCTGGAACCTGAACCACGGTACTAAAAATAGCACCATAAACTGGCTCCAGTCCTGGAACATGGTGCAGCCACCTGCTGCATGGCCCAGTCCCTGGGAGCAGCTGGGGCCACAACTACATGGTGGCTGTTGGGGTCAGGACTGCAGTATTAAACATAGCACCTGGCTCGAGTCCCAGCAGAGGGACTGAAGAGGAGTTGAAAGGAAGGGTAGACATTAGGAAGGCAGGGGCTGGAGCAAGTCATATGTTAGGGCGCAAAGGGGTGTGAGGAGAACTGGGGCAGAGGGTGGTGAGGGCGTGGGCACCAGGGAGAAAGAGGGCAAGGGAGGCAGGTGTTGGGAGAGCAGAGGCCATGAGGGAAGGGGAGGCACCAGGAGGGTGCAGGGAGTAAGGGAAGGAGCAGGTGCCAGGGGAATTGTGGGGGTGCAGCAGAAGGGCAGACATGGGGAGGGAAGTGGAGAGGAGGGACAGGCACCAGAGAGCAGAGGAGAGAGAGAAAGACAGGGCAAGTGGGTAGAGGGAGGTGTTAGAAGAGAGGTGTGGGGAGGGGAGCTAGAAGAGCAGTGGGCACAGCAGACAAAGGAGGGCAGGTGCAGGGGTCAGAGAGGAAGGAGAGAGGGGCAGGTCCTACGAGGGCTGAGGGGAGTGAGAAGGGCAGGAGCCAGGACAGGAGAGGAGCGTGAAGGGTGTGTGAGGCATGGAAGTGGGAAGCAAAAAGGGGAGGTTTATAACTTCGGTGTGTTACCTATCAGCCCAGTGCTCTTGGGAAGCCAGGGAGTGACATTCATGGAAAACCATCTCCCCCTTCCTCTAGGCCTCTGCTAGAATCAGACAAAGCAGGGAAAAGGCCAGGGCAGACACACCTAAACTAATTAAGGAAATACCCCAGCCTCATCTGCATGGAAGATAGAACAGAGGGACATCTCATTAGCATACAGAATGGAGACCAGCTCTTCCAAAGCAGGAACCGCACTGAACTATGGGATACCGAAAGCAGAGAAGCACTGCCTGATGGGAAATCTCTGCTCCAGATACCAATGAACCCAGGCCTGCTCACACCCAAATTAGTCATTATCAGACCAATTCTAGTAAGGGAGCCTATTGACATCCAAAATACTGAAACTGCCTAGTTGCAGTGTGAGCTTGTTCAAAGAACATCACCCATAACCAGGCGTGATCAGTCTCTATTGTGTCGCCTCTTTCTCTTTGAACTATTGTCCTATCCCTATAAAAACTCCTACCTTTGCCCAAGAAAAATTGTTCTGATACCTGGATTTAAGCTGCATCAGTTCCATTGAGACTTCTTCATCTCCTGTCTGATCGTGCTGGGGGCTCTGCTCTGCTTGTCTCCTGCCTTCCGGACTCCCAGCTCCCATCACCATTTGGGAACCCCGATCAGCACAAGCTCCACAGAGTGGTGAGTTCTCTCTTCCCCCCCCCCCCCCCCACCCCTCACTCTCACAGACTCCCAGCTCCCATCACCATCTGGCAACCCCAATCAGTGCAAGCTCCTCGGCTTGGTGAGGCATCTCTCTCTCTCTCCCCCCCCCCTCCCCCAACTACCTCTCTCTAAGCCTAGCCTCCTGACTCTGCCCTATGTAAACTGTTATATGGTTAGCTAGCCCTAACATTTGCAATCAGTTTCATTTAGATTTAATATTGTAACTGTTATGTGTGTTTGGCTTCCTGTCACTACTCAGAAATAAATAACTTTCATTGTTAAGCTGGTTGCTTCTCTCTTTCTTTCTCTTTCGCTCACTCTTCCTTAAGGGGTGTTGTTTTGGCTTCCCCATTCGCTCTGCAACAACGCTTCTTGTACCCAAGCTAAAGATCCCTGTATTGCCCAAAATCCAGTGGGGTTTGCTCATCGTGTGGTTTACCAGTGAATGATTGTGATGTGAAAGCAGGGATTAGGAGGTGCTGAATCTGTGGGTTTATGAGGATGGCAGCTTAAAGTGCTGTTTAATCCAGCCCACTGAGTCCAAAGGTTCATGAGGGTGCAGCGTGGCATTGCTGTTAAACCCAGACTGCTGAATCCAGGGACATATGAGGGGGTCAGCTTGTGAGTGCTGATTACCCAGTCATTTCAGGAGTGCTCTGGTAGTGGGTGTGAGTGTCTGTGTGTGTTGCTAAGGTGGGAAGAACCCCATCCTGCGGAATCTAGTTCCTGTAAGAGAGCTCCGGTGGAAGGGGGAAATTGGCAGCAGGGAAAATCCAGCTCCATATGAGAGCACAAGTAAGCACAAGCAACACAGTGATAGAATTGTTAACTTCCCCCATCCTATAAGAGAAACCCTAATAAATGAGCATACCCCAGAGTATTGGGAAAATCTGGTAATAGGTGCCAAAGTGGCACATATCAAACAAGCACACATGACCTCAATATTGGTGCACAAGACAAAACTCATTCCGCTCATGGATGGAAGATCTTAAAAGCAACACTGCCAGCAACCCAGCTAGGCTATTCTGGTAGCCAGGACCACGGGCGAAGACCCAAACTACTGAGCAACATGATATTGAGCCCAACCACAGGGCCATAGAA